CAAGAAAGTTAAAGGACTTGCATCTTCTGTGTTTATAAAAGATGAAAATGCTAATAAAGAAAAATTCTAATATGTATAACATCATATGCAATGGTTTGCTCATTTAAATGCATGGAATGCAGGCTGAATCTGGCAGCTGAATTATCCATTGGTTTCATGATCATTTATTTTCCCCCATGCAAATAACAATGTTATTATTCACTTTTAAATTCTTAATAAGAAGGATGAAAGCTCAGCATCCTCTCGTTTGGTTATTGTAATTCTCTCTCAATATGTTCTCTGTGTTATGTGACATATTCTCCCCAGGGGACGGGAATAGATTTCAAACCACCCTACTATTACTATTTCACCTATGACTACTGAAAACTTGTATAGAAGGATATATAGTAGTTTGTGTTAGGGTAGTTAGAAAATAAAAAGTATTACCCCTCTTCTGGTTGCCTACTTTTAGAATAATTTTAAAACAATCCTTAATTTTACAGTTAGACTGTGTTTTCCTCCATATGGGTTTTATGATTTTTACAATAAGTGAATATAGTATTTTTAGCATAATGGGATCTGTATTCTTAGTACTAACAAGACCTCACTTTGCTCATTTGCTGCATATCTTGATAATTTTCCTGGCCTTTCATGTTAAAAAATAATAGTCTCCTGATGCTGTTTCTAGAATGCAGCAGCAAGCTGGATGTCTTGGTTCTTGGAATTGTAATTTAACTCCTAAAGAGTTTGTCTTTATTTGTTTTTATATGATTGTTGTGCCTATGAGAAAAGTCTATTTCTATCTTTGTGATTTCTCAAATGTATAATATTTATTAGAGATATTCTATTTAATACTTTTCTAAGAATGTGAAAAGCCAATAGGAAAGAAACAGAACATTAAAAATAATGGGTGGCCATGAGTTTAAGCAAGTGAATATTTACAAATTGAGGTAATCCCCCAGAAGGTAAAGCACCCGAGTTGTTTATGGAAGTCCCTATTATCTTTGAGATAGTAGGAGAAAATTTTGGAGAGAGTAACTGCAGTGGTTTGAAAGAAAATGGCCACCCAAAGGGAACAGCACTATTAGGAGGTATGGCTTTGTTGAAATGGGTGGGGTCTTGTTGGAGGAAGTGTGTCATTGTGGGGGTGGATTTTGAGGTTTCATATATGCTCAAGCCACACCTAGAGTCTCATATCACTTCCTGTTGCCTGCAAGCCAAAATGTAGGACACTTGGCTACTTCTTCAGTGCTATGTCTGCCTGAATGCCACCACGTCACACCATGATGATAATGGATTAAACCTCTGAAAATATAAGCCACCCCAATTAAATTTTTTTTCCTCTTTAAGAGTTGCCATGGTCATGATGTCTCCCTACAGTATTAGAAACCCTATCTAAACAATAATTAAACTTGGCCAAAGTATAACTCTGGAAGACTAACACTTAATGCTAACTTGGCTTTGGGGAGATGACTGCAACATCACCTATTTATGGCCTCACAAGGAGTTTATAATGCAAAAATCGCATTTCTTCCCTTTGCAATTACCTCCTTAAGGTAATTTCCATTTACCAAACAGGAAGGAGGACGTTAAGTCTTGATGCAAAAATTCCTTGCAGGTTCTACAGTAGAAAAAATGTAGAAGGTTAACCCGAAGTGAGACTGACCACCCTTTTGAGATAATAGTAACCAGCCTAAAGTTCACAGTGACCATATCATATAGGCCTCTTATCATGTTACAGGTGGAGATGCTGATTCAGATATAATGCCTTTGGATAAGAAGATCAGCAGAGCCAAGATTTACAATCAGATAGTCTACTCACAAACTGTGCTCCAAATAGCAGAATATCTTTTACTTCTGTTGTGTTAAAATCAAATGTCAGGCAAGCAACTGAAGGAGAAGTGTATTTTGGCTCATGTTTTGATGTGATACAGTCCATCATGACAAAGACAAAATAACAGCTGCTGCCTCGGTGGTAATGAAAGCAGTTGGCAGCTGCTTGCTTATATCTCAGATGACCAACGAGGATAAAGAATACAGGAAGTGAAACAAGGCAATAACTCTCACAGCTAGACTTCACCTTCCAAAGTTTCAATAACCTTCCTTATGACATTATCTATTGAGGACCAGCAAGTTCAATATATAAGCCTGGGAGAGACATTTCATGCTTAGAACATGACACCAGGATTCAAGAAAGCTTTCCAGCTACCTAGAGGCTTTATGGTATGTTTCTTTGCCTTGTTTCTCCCTTTATTACCTACATTTGCAACCATACCAGATGTGATGATATACAAATTTAAATTATTACTTTTTAAAGATATAATGAATTTTATAGATGCCCAATGCTCTATTGAGATTTTCCTAATTTTAATAAAAAATTTCCATGTCTTTTATCTTAATAAACACAAAATCCTATCACTGATGCCCTTTAATCCATTCAAAATGTACTCTACCAGTTTTATTTTTGTTATTTTGAACTTTAATTGAAGGCAAGGGGCTAGGGATAATATGTTTCTCAATCAACTATTCAGAATTCACTAACTTATCTAAATAGAATATTGACATTTGCTCCTATTTTCATGAAAAATGAAGAATAGTTTTTCCATTTTCCCATTATAAATCTTTAAAAATATCCTGAATTTTTGTTTTCATTTTCTCCATTTATAATAGAACAGTTTATTTCAGCTTCATATTATCTATTTGGGTCAAACACTATAAAATAAAAGGAGATCCATATTTTTTAATGTGTTGCAGATACATTTTATAATTTCTAATTTTTAAAGACAAACAAGTGGACAAAACATTGTGTTTAGTCTAGGTATCCTTAATTTTTTGTCTATTCACTAGTTAATTTGTGGAAAAGATATTAGGTCTTGTCAACCTAAACTGCAAATCATATTAGTGGAATTAACTGACTTGCATTTAAAATCTTCAGAACATACTTTGGAAAGGATCTATACATTACATCCATCATAGATTTGAACACAGCTATTTATAAGGACTAGAGAAGTCTAACATAAAATTGAAAGACTATGGTTCATTTATCTAAAAACGTCTAAAATTTGAGCATTTCCTTTTCAGTATTATTGTTTTTTCTGAAAATGTTTGATTCAGCATGTTATTTACTTTAGATTTATTTGTTAGGTTTTTGTTTTTTGTTATTTTTTTGTTGTTTTTCGAGACAGGGTTTCTCTGTGTAGCTTTGGAGCCTATCCTGGCACTTGCTTTGAAGACCAGGATGGCCTCAAACTTACAGAGATCTGCCTGCCTCTGCCTCCTGAGTGCTGGGATTAAAGGTGTGTGCTACCAACACCAGGCTATGAGTTTTTATTAGTTTGCACACATGCATGTATTTCACATATGCACAGTGTCCACAGAGAGAGGACATCTGATCCCCTGTAATTGGAATTACAGTCTGAACTGTCATGTGGATGGATGCCTGCAATTAAACGCAAGTCTTCTGCAAGTCCAACAAGTGCTCTTAACCATTGAACCAACTCTCCAGCTTTATAAGAGCTAATGTCTTTAAGTTAAATCTCCCTTATGATGGGGATTTTAGAATTATGTTAGTTACTATACTATTGCTGCGAAAAGATACCATGATCAATATATATATATATTTATGTATGTATATATTTGAAGGTCTGTTTACATGTTTGTTGGATGAGTCCCGGTCATCATCTTGGATTCCTGGGTGTTTCCATTTCACTAGGTTTCTACCTTGTCTTCCCAATGCCTCCCAAATCCAGTCATCTCTCCTAGTATTTGTTCAATCTACCACCTACCTGAGCCCTCCTGTTCACACCCCCACCTTTCCCCAGTCCATCCTTGAAATCTATTCTATTTCCCCTTCCCAGAGAGATCCACTTACCCCCCAACACACAAACCCTTGAGCCCTCCTTGTTATTTAGTCTCTCCAGGTCTGTAAATTGTAGCATAATTATCTTTCATTTTATAGTTAATGTCCATATATAAGTGGGTACATGCCATGTTTGCCTTTCTGGGTCTGGGTTACCTCACTCAGAATGATTTTCTCTAGTTATGTCCATTTGCCTATAAATTTCATGCTATTTTTAAACAGCTGAGTAATATGTCATTGTGTAAATATGATATATATATGTGTGTGTGTGTATATATATATATATATATATATATATATGAATAATAAAAAGAAGAGGCTATCAACTTGAGAAAGGGAGGCATAGGAGGATCTCAAAGGAGGATCTCAAAGGGGCAGGGGGTGGAGGGAGTATATATATATCCATTCTTCAATTGAGGTATAGCTAGGTTGTTTCTAGTTTCGGTCTATTGTGAAGAAAACTGCTATGAACATAGTTGAGCATGATAATTGTAGTATGATGGAGTGTCCTTTGGGTATATGCCAAGGAGTGGTATAGCTGGGTCTTGATTTAGATTGATTCCCAATTTTGTGAGAAACTGGTTTAAGCTGAATCTTGAAGCTAAACTCAAATTCTCTTCCCTGAATTACAGTCATAAGTATACTCAGATTCTATAGTTTGATTGGTCAGTTTCTTCCTATGTCTGTTTTCTGTTGCTGATAAAAAATTTCCAAATGCACAAAATATTAAAGTAGCATACATGAATAATTTTTATCTCTCTGGCATCAGACTACTGGGTGAACATGGCTAGATAGCCTGATCAGGGTCTATAAGGCTGTCAGCATGTGTGCAAAATCCATGTCGGTTACAGGCAACCTTGGAGGAAAAAACTCGCTTTGCAGCACACACTGTTTTTTGACAGAATTCATTTGTTTGAAGGTAAAGAGTGTATTTCCCTAGCATCTTGCTGGATGTGTGTGAGGAGCCTCCTTTGCCTCCCATGGGTCAATTGTACATCTTTGTCATGTGATACTTCCAACTGGCTCTTCTAAGCATGTTGGCTTAATTATCTAAGATAATTGAGGGACAATAGGAGACTGCCTAAGAGCACAGGTGCTGATCACACCTGTACAAATCACCTAAATCTTTGAGACTTTATTGATCCGATCACAATTTTTTCAGGCTTTTCCAACCCATTACTCTCTTTGCCTGGGAAATTTTTGCATCACCCTGGATATAGAGGAACATAAAGTGAGTACACAAATAAGACATTTATTAATGTTGCATCTAAAGGATTTATTTTGAAATAATCATTTGGTAAACATACAATTTATCTTTTATTAAAAATGAAAGCAGATGCATAACTAATGAAATAGATTTAATTGTTTATTTTTACATAAATAATTAAATTTCAATGATACTGTAGGATATGAGCATTTTCGATGCTTTTCAGGATTGATCAATATTTTGATATTATAACTGCCAATGCTGAGAATCCCACATCACATAAACATATAATACAAAATGGAAGTAATGTGTTTATGATCATTTCAAAAGTCTTATTCCAAATTTTACATTGCAGTTATTCAACTTAGGTCAGAACTGAAATAACAATTTTAAAACTGACATTGTAACCCAACATCATAAAGATATATACAAATTTGATGGTTCAATACTAAGAGGTGTTTAGTGACATACTAAACATTTGTGTTTTATAATTAAAGTATTATGTTTCCATAAGGCAGGAGACTTTGTATACTCGGTGAAAGCACCAAAACTCAGAACATACTTGACCCTGAGCTGAAGTGTTTCAGGCAGCCTGTGTTAGTACTGTGTAACACGATGGTGACATGAGAAAACAGGAATGGCTTTAGGTTCCCAGGGAAATTTCTTTCTCTTCACATGATCTTTAACTCATAAGTTTGAGTGCTGAATACTCATAATTACACAGAACATCCGTGGGGTTCTGACCTTATGAATTTTAAGAATTATAAGAATTCATAAGACATTTGGAATGGTTTGGACAGTACAGCTGTCTCAATCACTAGGTATCCCATTACCTTCTATCATTTTCCTTTGTGTCTTCATGTACAGACATGCCAGGAAATAATCAAATTGAGAGCTGAAATCAATAAAATGGAAACTAGGAGAACAACACAAAGAATCAATATAACAAAAAGTTGGTTCTTTGAGAAAATCAACAAGATAGACAAGCCTTTATCCAAACTTACCAACAACAAAGAGTGATTATGCAAATTAATAAAATCAGACACAGAGGAAATCCAGAGAATCATCAGGTAATACTTTGAAAATCTATATTCCTCAAAATTTGAAAATCTAAAGGAAATGGACAATTTTCTGGACAGATTTCACTTACCAAAATTAAATCAAGAACAATAAGCAACTTAAATAGACCCATAACCTCTAATGAAATTGAAGCAGTCATTAGAAGTCTCCCAACCAAAAAAAGCCCAGGCCCAGATGGCTTCAGTGCAGAATTGTAGCGCCTGCACTACAACACTTCCACAGTATAGGGTGAGGGGCTTGAGGATTTCAATAAAGACAAGACAGCAGGTCTTTCTTGCAGGGAGAGAATGCACTTTTATTCCAACAAGAGTGGGGGCTTATATACCAGTCAGCAGGGATAGTGGAAAACTACCCAGATAACAAGTTCAGGTTCCCAGGCCCATCAGGCAATCCTGAATGGGTGAGCAACAGGATAACAGGAACTTGCACTCAGGCCTTCAAGGAAGGAAGAAAACAGGATGTACCTGCTAGGTAAGCTCCTAGTCACAAACTGGTCAGCAGACCCCTATGGGCCCAGAAATTCAAAGTACAGCTAATACCAATTCTCCTCAAAGTATTCCACACAATAGAAGCAGAAGGGTCACTACCAAACTCTTTTTATGAGGCTTCAATAACCTTGGTACCCAAGCCACACAAAGACACAACTAAGAAAGAGAACTACAGACCAATATCCCTCATGAACATTGATGCAAAAATTCTCAATAAAATATTGGCAAATCGAATCCAAGAACACATCAGAGAAATCATCCATCCCGATCAAGTAGGCTTCATCCCAGGGATGCAAGGATGGTTCAGCATACGAAAATCCATCAATGTAATCCACCATATAAACAGACTGAGGAAAAAAAAACCACATGATCATCTCACTAGACGCCGGAAAAAGCTTTTGACAAAATCCAACACCCCTTCATGATAAAGGTCCTGGAGAAATCAGGGATAACAGGAACATACCTCAACATAATAAAAGCAATATACAGCAAGCCGACAGCCAACATCAAATTAAATGGAGAGAAACACCAACCAAAAAAGTGAGAGACCTGTACCTTAAGAATTTTGAGTCTCTAAAGAAAGAAATTAAAGAAGATACCAGAAAATGGAAAGATCTCCCATGCTCTTGGATAAGCAGGAGCAACATAGTAAAAATGGCAATCTTGCCAAAAGAAATCTGCAGATTCAATGCAATCCCCATCAAAATCCCAACACAATTCTTCACAGACCTTGAAAGAACAATTCTCAACTTTATATGGAAACACAAAAGACCCAGGATAGCCAAACTATCCTGTCCAATAAACGAACTTCCAGAGGTATCACCATCCCTGATTTCAAGCTCTATTGTAGAGCTATAGTCCTGAAAACAGCTTGGAATTGGCACAAAATAGACAGGTAGACCAATGGAATATA